TTTAATAGTGGGGTGGGAGGGGTGTTTAATAGTGAGGGAGTGAGGGGGGTGTTTAATAGTGGGGGTGGGGGGGTGTTTAATAGTGGGGGTGGGGGGGTGTTTAATAGTGGGGGTGGGGGGGTGTTTAATGGTGGGGGGGGTGTTTAATAGTGGGGGGTGTATAAAGGGGGGGGGTATAAGCCCGCACGCTGGGCTCAGTGTTTGATGTTTTGACATCCTTTCCGGCGGCGCTTGATAAGTTGGGTGGTGGTTGTTGTTGTTGCTTCAACGGAATTCGTGAGAATAGATGTCTCTGCTAGTTGTGGTTGCTGGGACCCATCCCCTCTTGTATGGAGGGACGCGGCCCTGAGGCCTGTGGCCCTGACGACCGCCTATCTGCCTGTCCGCCTCGCCGGTCTGTCTCGTTGTTGTTACTTCGTTTGTTTCTGTGGTTGTTGTTGTTGTTCGTGCTGGCGGTGTAAATCGTCACGGGTGTCACTATTTGACGTGCTCTCAACTCTCTGGCCACAGTTCCTATGATCACTGTTACATTGCTTATGGCTTTATTTTGGTGATTTCGAAAAGTTTTTTTGGTTTGGCCATGTTTGTTTGTTGTACTACGGAGTTAGACTGATGGCTTTAATCTAAGTTGTCTTGTGGTGGTTGTTGTTGTTGTTTGACTTGCATCCCACTGGGATTTTTGCACAGAGCGTTGGTGCACGGTGCTTTTTTCTGGAAGACTTTGCAGTTTTTTCCTGGATTTTTCTGTTTGCGCATAGTCACTTGAAGATGTTTTCTTGTTCATGTTTTTTTGTTTGTTGCAGTTGCACCAGATTCAAGAGCCGAATGGCTCACAGGGCTCTACCAAATCAATGAAACTGAAAACTAACACTTTTCCTATCGTCCTGCCTGCCGTCTCGCTGCTGTCGGGAGCGATGGCGAGCGAGGAGCGAACAAGGGTTGGTGGCAGAGGTCGCAACCGGGTACCCGATACCCGTACCCTACCCGATACCCGGCTACCCGTACCCGGCCGGGTACGGGTAGCCGTTTGCGACCCTGGTGCGGCCGGGTACAGGTATGGGTAGGCCGTGAGTCACCGGTGAGTAACCGTTTGTCACTCATTTCGGGTAGGGTACGGGTACCCATACCCGGCCGGGTACGGGTACGGGTACCCGTTTGCGACCCTGGTGCGGCCGGGTACGGGTAAGGCAGGGGTGTCCAAACTTTTTGCAAAGAGGGCCACATTTGATAAAGTGAAGATGCCTGGGGGCCAATAGTTCCTTTTGACATTGTTTTAACCACAACAGTTACGTGGAAATACACACTGTTATAAGGAAAATGCATTGTCACAATTACCTTTATTTTTAAAATGACAATGTAACCAAATATAAGCCACTCAGGCAGACGGGAACAACTCTAAAAACGCAATTCTGCCTTTCATTCAGTCAGATAACATTGAACAAACTGTATAGAATACCTTAAATTTCCATGAGTTTTATGATGCATTTATTCTGACAGAGCTGGCGAGCCATAACTAACACGTTATAAGACCGAAGCTGCGGACCGTATGAAATCTGCCCGCGAGCCGTGATTGGCCCGCGGGCCGGACTTTGGACATGCCTGGGGTAAGGAATCAAATCCCGTTTGCGACCTCTGGTTGGTGGTGGAGTGAAGGAGCCGTGAGCCCGTGCCGTTAAAAGACGGAGGCAGAAAAAGGATTGAGGGCTCGAAGTTTCTCGTCTGCCTCGCATTCATGTGGCTTCTTCCCCTCTGTGTGTGTCTCTCTGTCTCTCTGTTGTTGTTGCGTGGGACGGGAGCATTGTGATCACGAGGCGAGCTTGCCGATGCTCGCAGTCTCTGGCTCGCCACAACGAGAGAGTGCACGGAGTTTTTGTCTTTTTTGCCATTGCTCTGTTGAGGAAGGGGCAGACTAGAGGGGGTTTCGCTGCCGTGCGGGCCGCAGTTTGGGTTGCATGGGTACAGTGGCAATCTTTTCTTTTTTATTCCACGCTTTTTATTAACTGACTCTGTTGTTGTTGTATCCTCAAATCTTGTTACTCAATTTTAAGCCACTTCCCAATGTGGTTTGACTGAAAACTTGGTATGCTTATGTCATACTGATGACAATACTGTACTATATTCTATCAAAAAATAAGAAACATTTCGATTTAAAGCTTTCGTGACTGCAGGGATTCATCTTCTTGGTGCGTTGTGGCCGAAACGTCGTGAGAATTATTTTATTATGTTTTATTTGTATTATTTTTTATTATTTCCCTTCTACGTGACTTTACCGAAAGAACCAAGAAGAAACATTTTAAAACGTTATTTTTTATATGTTATGTTTCGGCTTGGGTCTAATTGTCCACGGTAAACTGACGTTGGCTGTAAATCACCATGGTCCCGTACGTTATGGCAAGCTTCGGGGCCACTTCCTGGAGTCGTGAAGTTCTGCCATTACTAGTACATTTCATAAAAGCGCGTTTAAAAAAAGTATTTTTAAATATTACTTATTAAGTTGTGACTTTGGAACCCGCCACGCTATACAACTGGACGCATTGTTACAACCCGGGTTTAAATACTGTACAACAAGCCAGTACAAAGTATGAAAAAAAAGAATGGGGTTTACCCCCTTCTGGCAATGAATTCGGTGTTAAGATGTTGAAACACCGAATATAAACCTTTTGCAAGGAATCAAGTCTGCATTGACCACAGACAGTACTTGTGTTGAACATGCAAACAAACATCGCTCTAATAATAAAATATGGGCATTGCCTTTGAAACCGATTGGCCTTCTTTGGGGCCTCGTCTCAGTACCAGCGTCAGGCCAGAGAAGAACGCCAACAGTGAACAGCACAAAGGCAATGCCACTATCAGAGAGCATTTCTATACCTACGTGACTTTACCGAAAGAACCAAAGAGTATGGATTCCTGCAGTCACGAAAGCTTCAAATCAAGATTATTACAAAAGGAGTTACTGTTTTGGGTTTCCGCGACGGACAACGAGGGGCTCGGAGTCTTTAAGTGTTGGAACATTTTCTCAACCTCGTTGGAGTAACGCTATTTCATTCGTAGTTGGATTTTTTTTATTGTGTATTTGATCTTAAATTAGGCCCTCACCCAGGCACTTGGCGACGTTGGTTGAGTGCCAAGATGAAAATATCCCTTAAGCCCCCAGTGTATCAAAAGCAGAGGACCGTTCGAGTTACCATGTCTGTCTAGCACTATTATACAGTACAGGAGATAATCGATTATATACAGTTCGTGTAGATCATCGATTTTATACAGTGTAGTAGATTATCGATTATCCGGCGACTTAAGGGCGAGAGGGGGCGCGGGATTTCCAAATACGTTGGATAATCACTACATTATTATTTAAAATTGCTTATTTTTTTCACATTCTTGCCATGACATTTTTGTTGTTTAAAATTAGTTTACCACATGATATTGGCACAAATAAACAAACAAATGGACAAATATCCTCCTGTAAAAAGTTACTGTTTTTACTCCACCATACTCACCACTTCAATCTCTAAGACTCTGCATGGGTGATGTATATACGTGCAGTGTTTTAATTGTTTAAGTTGTATGTCGTGAATAATGTACTGTCTGTAATATTTGACACTGAAATCAAGCGTAGCTACTTTTTTGTCACGCACACCGTGCCGATAGCCGTACTGGGTACAACATTTGGAGCGATTTTGCCAGTTTCGCCGGATCGGCCCGGGACCGCCAGATAAATGTTGGAAGCAGCCAGATAATTGCGCGGTGCCGGATAATCGATGATCATCTGTACATACTTGGTTCAAGTTAAATGTGAATTCCTGAAGTTAATGTGCCACGGTCTTCGCTTGCGCTCCTGAAATCTGTTTCGGGAGCTCTTCGTTTAAAGATAGTCTGACTCTGAAACCTCTTCCACTTTTCACATTTTCTTGGTCAGACCTCACCATTTCAATCAGTGTGGGCAGCATTCAACGTAACATATGCATTTGTCTTTGCTATTTCCCCAACTTATGCATTTTTAAGATTCCCTCATTGCTGATTACTAAAGCTTTTGTATGATGGCGAGCCGGGAGGTGGTCGGGGGCGGCATCTGTGTTGGCCAGAAATGTGTAATTGTGGGTTCGTGTGCGATCATCGTATCTCGCCAAACGTCATCGTTACATTGATTATGGGGAGATTGTTTTCGCTCAACGCGTTTTTCGCTTAACGCTGCACTTTTGAGGAACGCATCAACCGCGTTAAACGAGGACTTAACTGTACTTTTAACCTATGCAGTTTTTGTTGCACCAACGCATGCATCGTACAAGTTTGCCACGAGAGTTCACTACCATTGTGAGCGTCTTTCTGTGCAATGCTGAGAAACAGCAACCCCCTTTGGTATGGGGTGTCGGTTATACAGCATTTCATTTTCTTTGGTCTCCTTTGTCATGGAATGCTATGGCGACCTTTTGAAAACTACAATACTGTATACCGAACCGGGTACAGCCAGCATGGTGCTGGCTCTACTGAAAAGCCTTCAGCAGCCTTAAAAGCTCTGACCAAACACAGCCTCAGTGGCAGAATTGAGTGGCGTTTACAGGCTACTTCAGTGTGAGATTATTCCACTTTGTCAAGGTTTTTTTTCCCGTAACCACTTAAAAGTATGCACAATAAAACTAAAAGGTGTACAAATTTGATACATCACGTTAATCTCCCCCCCCCCCCCTGCCGTTTCATGTATTTGAGCTTCCTTTATAGTGGATTGCATACAGAAACAACAATAGCCCACAGCCACGGTCATGTTAAATAAATAAATAAAGTGTCCGAAAAACATTGCCTGCTCTCCCCCACCAGCCCCTTAATGTAATGCATGTAGTTTCTTTGTGTCTGGATAAAAAAAACCCTCTGGTCACATTACCACCTTTTGAATGCCTTTTGTTGAGCAAGGGTTGGGGGAGGGGGGGGACATGTAAGGCGTTGAGTGTTAAACGTGGCTTCATATTTCCTTGCGATTTAAAGGTGACCTTGTTTCCTGTCTCCAGGCTTCAGCAATGGCGCTCAACAGGGATATGCACCCCCGCAACCGCTACAAGGACAGACCGCCTGACTTCGCATTGCTGGCCAGCAGAAACCCCGAATTCAAGAAGCACGTGCAGACAGACCTCTCTGGCCGTGTGCGGTAATGATGCTCCGTTATCACAGCCTTCACTTTTCGTTGAACATTTCTTGTGTTTTTCTTGTTGTCGCAGTTGTTACTTTATGCCATTTGGACAACAGAGCTAAGCTTTTTTTGTTTGCCCATTCGAAGTCCGCGTCTTAAACATTTACAATGTTACACATCGTCGGCCAATTGTCGGTTCCTCATTCCAGCACTCGGATGGTCACAGTAAACCTATGATGAGGGACGAGACCCTTGGGTTTATAATTCATTGTGCAAAGTATGCTTCCCCGATTTCTTAAGTAGTGCATATTTTCTTTGGTTCTTTGGGTAAAGTCACGTACACGTAAGTGAAAAAAAAAATGTTTTAAATAAAGAAATTAAATCACGACGTTTCGATTGCAACACAAGCAATCATCGTCAGGTGTGACAACCACAGTAATAATTTTTTTTTTCTCTTCCACTTCAGTAAAAAAAATTCTTGCTGTGGTTGCCACACTTGATGATTGCTTGTGTTGCAATCGAAACGTCGTGATGTAATTTATTATTATTTATTTTAATTATTATATTTTTTTACCTGCGTGACTTTACCGAAAGAACAAAAGAATATGGATCCTTGCAGTCACGAAAACTTCAAATATAATACTTAAGTAATGACTTCGCAATTGCACTAATTTATATGCCTTCCCAGCATCCATTAACGCAACATACAGGGAATGCATGTTCCTGGAAATACAGGTTGGAGCTGTATATCAAATGTTTTTAATGTTTCCACGGAGGATAATTTTTTTGTCTAAGCCACAGATAGAGCTGTTGAATGCGAGCCAATTGTAGCGACGGCATATTTGTAATGAATGTTGTTGCCTCTAGTGTAGCTCATTAACACTTTGCATTTTCAACGTCCATCTCTTGTTAAAAAAAGGGGATCATCTAAGTGGCAATTTACTTGATTATAAATGGCATTATTTGTTCTTTAATTAACCAGGAGACAAGGATTCGAGGTGTTTGAGTTGCGTGTCGTTTAAAAAATGTGGAACTTGGAATTTGACAGCCACAAATTGGTCTATACGTGTGTGTGATGTTACAGGGTCTTTAATAGCCAGTTAAGTACAGCCTTGTTGCTATTTGTTTGCAGAAATTGTCCAGTGTGCCATGAATATGAGAAAACGAGGTGCATTCTGATGTTTAATTGATCCATTAAACTGCACATTGCAACTACAGGTGTTAAAACGATAATTAGGTCGCCAGAAATCGTTTTCAGACTCGATTACCGATTATGATGGTCAGGAATCGGCAATTTATTCCGTAGGGAAGTGTTCAAACTGCTTGACCTGTGAGAGAGTGATTAATCGGTGGCAGCCGTAATAAAGTACCAGCGGCAGGCCGAAGTCATCGCATGGTACATATGCACTTGTTTCTTCATTAAAAGGTCAAGGTGCAGCCATGCAATTTATTCTAGATTTGAAGCTTTCGTGACTGCAAGGATTCATATTCTTAGGTTTTTCGGTAAAGTCACGTAGGTAAAAAATTAAAATTAATGAATGTAAAATAAAAATAAAATAAAAATCACGACGTTTCGGAGGCAACACAAGCTTCCTTCTTCAGGTGGAACCGTCACAGCACGATAGCTGTATTTGATTTTTATTTAACTTTTATTAATTTAAATAAAAAAAATGTAACCTACGTGACTTTACCGAAAAAACCTAAGAATATGAAAAATGCAATTTATTGTTCACATCACTACTGGCGGAAGGGCTTCCATGAGTATAGGGAAGTCTAGCAGGTAATTGGTCTATTCTTTCACGTTTCCCAGGCACCGTAGAAGGTGGTGGGTGTACCCACATGTTACCCCACCACACTTGAACTACCCGATTGACTATCTGTGGCTTACCCACGTATACTGCGGAGTGGATAGAGCTGGGGTGAGATTTAAGAAAATTGTCCTCATTGGTTCAACACCAGGGAGATCAAATCAGACTTGCCAACCTCTGAATTGCGGGTCCAAGTGTGCGAACCATTACACCACCGCAGCACCCTTCGTTTTTCAGTTTTAAAAAATTATGTTACGTTTACTGTGCGACATCTGAATGTGCTTCAAGTCGGTTTTTGCCTATTTTATGCGATTACCAGTAATGAAAAAACACCTTTAACAACCCCAGTTGCACCCGTTATTACATTTCTTTTCATCGGTGGAACCAGTCGCATGCGCTTACATTCGCAGATAGCCGGATGCCGCACCACAGAGAATGTCCTATCTCTTCATGTCAGTTTCATTTCATGGAAATATAGTCGAATTTATAGACTTAATTGTTCAGTGACTTGTACTTTTATAAGGTTAATCAGGACTGCAAGACAGCTATTACGGTCTCTCCAACTGGTATTGTAAAGGAAATGCTTGGTGGCGGTTTCATTCCATTGGCAATCAGCTCCCATCACCAAGGGCACCTTTAACCTCACAAGGATGATAGAAATGAGCCTCCCGGGTACCATGAATGGTGTATGCCAGGTGTGGCTGATGCAGCCTTTGTAATGAAATAATTTTACATCTTCCACGCAGCTCACATTCAATTTATCTGCCACCTTCTGATGTAGACTCTCCGAGTAATCTGAGTCGTCTCATTTGGCTAATCGAGTTGGGGCTTGATTGTGCCTTGCCTGCGTGTAATCGGTGTTCTCAAAGTAGCATGGCATTGGTATTCATTCCTGGCTGTCAGTTTTATCAGGGTATTTTGGCATTCATTGGGACCGTACTGATTTTATATGTGCAAGCCAAACCGAAAGGGTCCCGTGCTGAGATAAAATGATGAAACTCTTTTTTTTACGCGGAGTGGCAATCTTAAACACAGTGGGGCGTGTAGTACCGGTGTCCTTGCAAGACACTTAATATTGTCGTACAATTCTGGGATTGTTCCACAGCTCATTGTAAACACTTTTGTGCTGTGTGCACTTTCCAAGTTATTGTTTACATTTAAGAAGGGTGTTTTATTATTCATAATTTTGGCCTGTTTTTTTGTCATATCACAGCTCTAATGTACTGCCTTTGAAGCATCCAATCAGGTTTGTAACAGAAATAATGCCACGGGGAAGAAGTAGAGAACTCAAAATCGATGCACAACATCAATGTTTTATCACAAGTGAGCAAATGTTATTAGACACGAAACGCCACGTTCGGAGGTCGTGTCATGTCTGGCGGGTTACACTGCCGAGTGTTTGATCTCGGTGTCGTAGAGCGATAAACAATGGGCAGCACGCTGGAGACGACAGGCCCACAAGTCCCCCACTGTTTTTTTGTTAATGCAAATTGACGTGAGCGTTAATTGACATATAATTACTCACAATATCCATCATTTAATCAGACGAAGACTCGTTGATCTCAATATGCCCTCACATTGCCTCTAACCAACTTTTACTAAGTTGTTACCGCTCCTGCATAATGATATTTCTGAGATCATCCTTGCAAAAGAGACCAATTCACAATGGATTGTCACGTTTTTAAATGCGGTCAAATGAACCTTATGGCGGGACCCCGGGGTCCCAAAAGCCCTCGGCTCTCGCATAAACTGCGTTGCGACGTCATTTTATGTCTGTTGAAGGCGAACGACACGGCAATCTATTCCTCTCGACGAGCTTTAAACGATGCGCTAATCAAAGTTTCAAAGTTTTGTTTCTTCTGCGCATTTGTCCTTGCTGCGCTTGGACGACATAACAGAATGATCCGCGCCAGGTGGGTCGCAGCGTTTATGTGCGCGGTGGGACGGAGTCGCCAAAAATAAACTAATTAATTACGATTTTGCCTTCTGCTTAAGCGGGATCCCGTGGTCCCACCATGAGGTTCAAATAAGGAACACTAATGTGAGTAAAAATAGCTTCAATTAAATGCTTTGATTGCGATCACTTTATTTTTTCCATTTACAGGATTATTATTAATTCCATGCAGTGAGTGGTTGCTCAGAGGCACATCCAGTGTTGGTTGCATCTTGTACTTTGCCAGTGGTTTAATTTGGCACGTCTTTATCCCCTGTACAGGTACTTCATTCCTAGGTTACTACGATATGGTGATACTAAGATGTGTTGTACGATGTACAATCCACGACCGTTTAAAATCGATTTTACTGAATATTGTTATTTCATCATCATCATCGCAGTATTTTATCAAATGTTTTAACTCAACATATTTGAAATGACAAATTCAATTATTGTAAATCAATTCCTATTAATCATGCAATTAGTCCTTGGAGATTGTTTTTCTGAACAATTAATGGCTTGACAATTGTATGACAGGTATTTTGGTTGATTCGAATTTTAATCACTTTTAGTGCAATCAACTATGCATGATAACAATTAAATGTACTGATTATAATACTCGGGGGCAGACTTGGGTTGAGTGAACTGCAGTTGGTATAACTTTATTTACACTTAGTGTGAGCGCAGCAAACCACAAAAACAATTCAATGAACATTTGAATTACAAATACAATTTCATAGGAAACTGATCATTGTTGTATCATGACATCGAATATCGTTTCGTCATGAAAAATGTATATCACGGTAACTATAAGGTTTTCTCACTGTACGCGTGAGGGTGTTTTTCTGTGTGTGTGTGTATATAAATGTAGTTTCTGCAGGGGTTGTCTGTACATTGAGCTCCTTTCACACCGTACGCAGCCAACCGTGCTAATCGGAAGTGCGGATGAGAGAAGTTGTACCACACAATATATTTGGAGACCACTTATTTGGTTCGCGAGAAGCCGGCGCAGACTTGCGAGCTCGGGGTTGTTTGGCACAGTGGTTGGTGCACTGCTACCAATGCGGTCGCCTGGGTTCAATTGTTGCTCATGAATAAAATAAGTGGCAATCGCTACCCAAGTCTAATCGGGGGCGTCGCCAAGGTCAACCGAGGCTTAAATGGTACCCTAGTGCGTTGTGCACACAACAGCCCTAGTGAGACAAAGATTGCCACGTGTGGTGGTGCTGGCCACACCACACGTTGTGCACAGAGCCCTTGTAGGTGCTCATTAACCCTTCCCTGTTCCGACGACGACGTACGCGTACGTCGTCAGCTTTTCTTCCGATTCCATTCCGATTCCATACGTTTACGTCATTGGAACGGAATACACATTCCGAACGGATTCAAATCGATTCTGAATGTAATTTGAAGCAAAAAGGCCATGGGGAAGGACACATGGCACAGTTTGGTGCCAGCTATCATAGAGTGCGGTCGTGTCGTTACAGCGGTGAACGAGACCCACCCTGCAACTTGCAGATGTCTTGGACGGGAAAGCGTTAACAGCACGTTGCCCATAACACACTGCAGGTTTAAACAGCATGTCTTGTATTTTTGTACTCCTCCCCCATCGTTTACCTTCGCAGGCTGAACTTCAAGGAGCCGGAAGCTGTGCGTGCACTTACCTGCGCCCTCCTGCAGGAGGATTTTGGACTGAGCATCGAAATCCCTCTGGAGCGCCTCATCCCAACGCTGCCTCTCCGCCTCAACTATATCCACTGGGTGGAGGATCTGCTGGGCAGCAGCTCGGGCAGAGACCCCGAGAAAACCGTGCATGGCATTGACATCGGTAAGCTCAGTTGTTTCTGCACACTCTCTATTGAGTCTGTGTGTGTGTGGAAGCATTCGTTTTTCTCTCCATAGTTGCCCGGCGACTTTCTTACAGACAAACTAACCAAAGTTTTCTGAATTGTGAATTAGACGTGAAAAAAAACAGGCTACAAGAGGTTTGTCACTGACTTTTCCTGGATTCCACAACATTTTCTGACTTGTGAATTAGACGTGAAAAAAAACAGGCTACAAGAGGTTTGTCACTGACTTTTCCTGGATTCCACAATTAAAATGTTTTTAAGGTCGAGACTGATTTGTCCAGCATTGGTATCACTTTCTCCTCTATGCTAGAATCCCACAGCTCTTGTACCAATTGACACGCAGCGCTTCAAAAAGTCCACTTACAGTATTATCTGGCGTTATCTGGTTTCAGATATTCCCCTTGGATGTCAGCTTGAAATGCCGCGCTCCAATGCCTGTCTTGGTGGCCTTCCCTCCCCCATATTGGACACACATGTCACACTTTGCTTGAAAATTTCACCAACTGGGATAGCTGTTTTCTTGTAACCGTGACTACACGGTTATCTTGATAGTCATTATATATACGGGGTGGTATTTCTTGTGATCTCTCATTTACTTGATACAGCTGTCGTGGCTGTGACGGTTCCACCTGAAGACGGAGGCTTGTGTTGCTTCCGAAACGTCGTGATTTTTTATTTAGTTTTATTTTACTTTCATTAATTTAAATTTAAATTTTTTACCTACGTGACTTTACTGAAAAACCTAAGAATATGAATCCTTGCAGTCACGAAATCTTCAAATATAGAATTGATAGTCGAATGCGAATACTTGAGAAACGTCTGATGTTTCATTGATGTTCAGATGTGTGGAGGTACACGTTCATCTGCACTGTTCAAGAGCGCCATATAGTGGACTTGAGTAAAAGTTAAATTGAAGACGTGCTGTGGTTTGCCTTGGCATATAAATCAATCACGCTTTTTTCTTATATCGAATTTTGCCTGCCGACATCTTTGGCAATGCAATGACTCATCGGAGGCCATGAAAACGAGTTTGCTAAATTTGACTATTGCAAGTAAGATATATGGTGTAAATCCTCTAGACTTTCACTACTGCGTTATGGCATAATTCATCAACCTTTAAAAACGTATCCTTAATTTTAAGCCTGTTTTATTTAATATTGTTGCTGTGCAATTACTATATCCACTGTTTGTTAGGCTTACATGTTATTGTTGATTTGCCGTAATGCTATGCAGCCCTAATTATTGTTATTTTTTCTCAGCCTGCACATTAGTACAAAATGTGAAATTGATGGCGGAGCATTTTCTCTCCGTTTATTTTACAAGCACTCTTATAAGTACAAAAAAATAGATGCCGTTGCTTTTGGACGTAATATCGAAATGATGAGGTTGTATGTGGCTCATGATTTGGCAGAATGCCTTGTGCAGTGAACTTGATTCCGTTTTTATCTCTTTAAGCAATGTTTACACATCATGATTACAAGGATGCAACATGCATGGTCATGACTCATTTGGTAAAGTCCTGCTATGCACACAATTTAACTTATTTTTTATAACTTTACGCAACATTTGTGTTAAAAGTATTTAACTATTGAAATATATTTTACATTGCTGGATATATCTGCTGATGTAATTTGTTCTATATTGACCTCGTATATCATGGCCCTCTTACCAGGGCCCTCTTTTCAATTGGCCCTCTTACCAGGGTCCCCTTTGGATTTAGATGCCAATCTCAAGTGTTTGTCCTGCCTAAATAAATGTTATTATTAATGATTAATGAAGCTTGCTGAGCACTCGCATTTGTCCTTGGCAGGCACGGGCGCCTCGTGCATCTACCCACTGCTTGGCGCCACCATGAACGGTTGGCACTTCCTGGCCACCGAGGTGGACAACGTGTGCTTCACCTATGCCACCCAGAACGTGGCGAGAAATGCTCTGCAGGGGCTCGTGCGCGGTGAGCATGCGCAGTCCACACCCCGTGCCCTCACGGCCCTCGGCGCAGGCGTTAACGAGCGCCATTGTAATTGGGCAAGGTCTGTCCTAGTGCTAACGGTGGTGTTATAGCACAAAGATCTTCATGGCTAAGCATGGCGTTATGACACGAGCACCATCTTAACACTGGTCGTATTCTAGCGTATGGAAAGTACGTGTAAATTGTACATCCACGTTTAAGTTTGCGAGGCATGTGATCGCCTCGGGAGCAGCGTGACTCGTGCTGTCCAGTTCGTCGGAGAGCAGGCGGACAATGCAGTTCATCTTCTTGGTTCTTTCAGTAAAGTCACGTAGAAGGGAAATAAAATAATTCTCACGACGTTTCGTGCACAACGCAAGCAGCCGTCCTCAGGTGAAGAACAGGTCTGTCGGGAAGACAGCGTCTGAATGTTTCAGTCTGAATGTTTCAGACGCTGTCTTCCCGGCAGACCTGTTCTTCACCTGAGGACGGCTGCTTGCGTTGTAGCATCGTGAGAATTATTTAATTATGTTTTATTTTTATTATTTTATTATTTCCCTTCTACGTGACTTTACCGAAAGAACCAAGAAGATGAATCCCTGCAGTCACGAAAGCTTTAAATCGAAATTTAGTACAATGCAGTTGTTCGCGATGTGGTCCATTGTTTAGTTCGGGTGGCCACAGTCCCTGCACTGGGGCGGGTGGGGGGGTGTCATTTCTAATGTCCCATGTGTGGACAGAGGTATGCGCAGCAGCAGCAGCAGTGAGCGGTCAGCATTCTGTAGCGGTTGATGGAAGAGCCACTAAAGTTTTCTTGGCAGAACAAAGCCGTGCGGAGCAGTGGTGGGACTCTCGATGAGGATTTTATTCGGAACCTCGGCAGAAGAACTCCAAAGTTGTTTTCCTGCGGTCTTCAGTTGACCCCACTTCATCCAGTTGTCTCACATGGCGATCCCAGATTGGTTTCTGGTATCTCAGACGTGTTCGTGGAGGGTCGAGCAAGGCCTGGCGTAACAGGGGAGGTCTCTGCTTCCTCGGATTTTTCCCTGTTGGTTTGATGTTACGGCATCCCCACAGAGGTTTGTTGATGCATTATGTTGGCCAGAACATCTCATTGTGATGAAAAAAAAAGTGCTTAAAAAAATTAAGTACAATGAATGTATGCAGTTATTGTAATGTGCGTATTGTTCATCTACAAACAAGCTTATACTTACAAGCAATATGAACCACTCAAACCAAGTGATTATTTCCATTGAGCTGCTTCAATATATCTCTCTGCAGTCAGTTAACAGGTGGTGGGGTACACCTCACATTTCATGATAACAGTGACAGAGGCAGCCTTCATTCCATTTAGCAAATGGAGTTAATCCGCTCCTTCACAGCCGGTTACTCTTGACGGGAGGCAGTCTTCTCCCAGACGATGGTCATTACACGCTCGAGGTTTCCGCTGGTCTCGAAAAGCAGCCCTCAATATCGGGAGATCCGCTTGCCCGCCTCTCGCCACGCTTGGCTCCCAACGCGACACGGCAAAGGGGTTGTCCTCACTGCCCCATGGGCAACACCCCTGGCGATAGCTCGCTCGACTGTTCGGGTATGAGTGGCACAGCGATGCGTGACAATATTCGTAAGTAGAGGATTCTCTGTGCATCAGACTTGCACAAAATTTGCATCGGCGTGTCTGCTAAGGGGTTCTTGGCACAGACAGGTGCGAGGCATTGCAGCCCGGTTTGTGAACTGCTGGTAGGCACGATCGCTGTGAAGAAACGGGATGCACTCGTATCAGCGTGACATTTACATTGACTCTCATAACGAATCCCATTTCGTAAAACCTTGCACCCTCGTGCCGTTGCAGTCATGAAGGTGCCGCAGAAGACGCTGCTGGTGGAGGCGCTAAACGAAGATCCGGAGTTGGCGTACGACTTTTGCGTGTGCAACCCGCCATTCTTTGCCAACCAGCAGGAGGCCCATGTAAGATCGGCATCGTTTGTGTTGTAATTCGAGGTGTTTGGAGAGCTAGTTTTTTTTTGCATTTCTGTGAACCAATTTTCACAACAGAATGGTTTGGATTCTCCAGCCGCGTGTCCAATTCCTGCTTCATGAATTGCATTGGCTTTGTAAAGTGGACGTTTGCTTGCCAAGTGAGCTTAATGACTCCATTACATGGTTTGATGTTGTTACAGCCCCGATTTTTAAAGCTGATATCCACAGCTAAACTACTAAAAAAACAACTAGACCAGTAGATGACAAAAGAGTGTTCAAGGTGAAGAGGTCACTGCAGCCATTGCTGTTGATGTCAACACATCACTTTGTAGCCGTCACTTCCGTTAGATCCCAAAGTTGTCGCAAAGTTGACACCTGACCTCCACGGTCTGCATGTTAGTGTCCCACAATCTGGCTTTAGGTCACTTGACCCCTGGTTACTACTTCACTGTCTGTCTTGGTAACCTGCCATCCTTTATTATGCCCGCGTATCCCATCCATTTAAGCCTAACCTTCCTGGATACAATCGAATAACAGTTTCTTGGCGTGCCAACGGCATCCTTAAACGGTGTTAGCATTTGAAATTTCCCTTGCAAAGGCTGCAAATTCATTTTAATGGGCCAACTTGCCTACCTAGATCAAGTTTGTCCTGCGTTCATGTTGGGCAAATCTACTGGACCAGTATAACTGCCTCTTTATATGTGTCCCCCCCCCCGGCCCGTCCTTAAAAGAGACATTTTTTAAATGATCTAATCGTTGATGGTAATTTCAAACTTTGCAAATGTCCACCCTGGTAACGGCATACGAATGTCCGCTTGCGCGCGTGCCGGTGTCTGTGCGTGAAGTCCGCCAGTGGCTATTTTTTAATGTCTGTGCACCCGCAAGAAAACGTCACACGGGTAATTCTCATCGACTCGCCACGAAATGGACGGGCGGCAAATGCGGTCTACGCTCGCTCGGCTGTCATCCACCAAAGACAATGACCGATCTTTTCACTTTGCCTTTGATGTATGTGTTCTCAGTTGGTGCTCCATCTTGAGTTTGTTCTCCATTTCTCCAAAACATTTCATTTTATCCACAATTCCACAGTGTGTCAGTTTTAGGTTGTGATTTTCTTCCCCTCCCCCCATCCACCGTTTTCACATAAAAACAAATAAAATATCAACCAGTGGGGATCGATGGCTGTGTCATGTGGTGCAGTGATGGCTCCCTTTGTGTGCACGGCTTGCGATGGACACAATTCGAAAGTCGGCAGGTGGCTTCAGGAGGAGGTTTTAACTTGAGGGCAAAGTTAACATACTAAGATGATGTAAACAAAAGAAAAACTTTAAAAGCTGGATGAAAACTGCTTAAACTTAAAATTTTCATCAAAGGAATGGCATAAATTTACAAGTCAGGAAGTAAAAATATTAAGTCTACATTAATCATATTTTCTTCATTAAAATCATTTTGTAGAATATTACATCATCGTAAGCAATTGATCAATTAATAAAAAATCAGTAGTCATGCTCGTGATTCACGCATTAAATTGTGTAATTAATTTGAAGATCCATGCATTATTTATGCAAAATTATGCCTTTCCGATGATTAAATGAATGTGACGGCAAACAAGGCAGGACGCATCCCATACAAACAATACAAATGAGAGAGTACAAGTGAGACAGAAAAAAAATTTACCCGTAAAAACAAAGTTTTTCACTATAAATCCTTTATATGCGTGGCAGCTAGAGTCCTCTCGTCCTCTGGCTTGAGATGGCTGCCACCTATGGGTCAGATGATTGCCTGCCACCATTAAGCAATTGGTAATTAAATATAATTATTTTTTTTTCCTAAAAAGTGTAAAATTTTGGAAAAAAAATTTCACAAAAATAAATTGTCACGCACAACGAGTCTGTGTGCAAAATGTTAGCTCGATTGGATCACGGGAAGTGGGTTAAAAACGACCGAAAGATTTGCACGGTCGTAAGCGCGCAAGCCAGTGAACTTAATATAAAGGATTTAAAAAGGAACACATTCTTGAATGACCTATTGCGATAATTCCATCTAATTACGGGAGAGGTGAATTGTCGTATGCCCAATGTTCAATGTTGTACTGCCGAGACAATTAACTTTGTAGCAATGACTAACGTGAGTATGTAATAGGCGCTCGGTGCCAAATGCATTTTTACACAAGTGGACCGCACATGATGCCATGAACTTAATGAGCCGTAACGATGCAACTTCACGATCTCATCACAACATTTTCATGCCATGCGGGTGTGAGAATGAAGACTGGCTTGCCGCTGAATGTGATGGCATGGTTGAGGCCTGTGTGTTAAGGCTTTGTTCCTTAGCCTGTTCGTGAAGAGTTTTGATGTCAGCAGTGTTCGCCCGTATATCTTTTTTTTGAGAATTGCTTAAACTGAACAATTTTTTTTCGACCAGGCAAGGCCCACTGAGCTATATAACTCTTTTCTCGGAAGCCACCTGGCCACAAATGATAGTTCAACGAAGTTGCTTATACTGTGGAAATGTATAGCAGCCAAATACTCTTAAATGTATGTTTCTAAATGTGGAAGGAAAAACTGGAGAATCTAGTAAAAAAAATCCCCGTAACCTCGGGGAACATGCAAACTCTAAATATTTAGGCGTCAGGGTCGGAATCGAACCCACAACCTCCTGTATACCAGGCGAGGTAGTTAAGATGTCACCACCGTGGTGGCTTGCTTGGTCTCATGACTCATGCAGCCAGCTATGGCTGCAGAGTTTGGTAGTACATGTTGTTTACGTCGTTTATTGTGAAAATTCGGTCACAGTTCCTATGACCACTGTTTCATTGCTTTTATGGCTTTATTTTGGTGATTTTCGAAAAGTTTTTTGGTTTGGCCATGTTTGTTTGTTTGTAGTACAGAGTTAGACTGATGGCCTTAATCTAAGTTGTCTTGTGGTTGTTGTTGTTGTTTGACTTGCATCCGACCGGGATATTTGCACACAGCGTTGGTGTACGGTGATTTTTCTGCAATATTTTGCTGTCTTTTCTTGGATTTTCTGTTTGCACATAGTCACTTTAAGATGTTTTCTTGTTCATGTTTTTTTTGTTTGTTGCGGTTGCACCCGATTCAAGAGCCGAATGGCTCACAGGGCTATACCTAATAAATTAACTTTGAACTTTGCTTACCCTCCCTGCCTACTCACCCACCCACCCCAGGGCATCAACTCTCGCAACTCTCACCGGCCACCACCCAGCTCGGTGAACACCGGCGGCGCCACGGAGATCATGGCCGAGGGAGGCGAGTTGGAGTTCGTTCGCAAGATCATCCACGACAGCCTGCAGCTGCAGAAGAGAATCCGGTATACCAGCTGCTGTCGCGTCGTACATTGTGACACCTACACCGTGCTGCTTACGTGCCGTGCACACACAAACAATGACCCATGCGCCGTGGTTTGTATACTCGCTCGTACACGCGACATGCACACTGGAGTGCCATTCGTAAACTGATGCCTTACACCATGTTGTATGCGGTCACGCGTGCACCTAGTTTTCCGTCGTACGTTGTGGCACCTACACCCAGTCGTGCAGTAGTGTCCATAGCTCTTATACTGAGGTCACGATATGCGATGTGAGAGAGGGCGATTAGTTCGGGGGTGCCGTGGTGGCGAGATGTTAACTGCCTCGGCTGCTATGCAGGAGGTCGTGGGTTCGATCCCGAACCTGACGGCTGTATATTTGGAGTGTGCATGTCTCTCTCCCTGTAGTCGCGTGGACTTTTCTCCGGGTTCTCCGTTTTTTTCCTCTGCACTTAAAATGAACATGCGTCCAGAGTATTTGGTTACCATACATTTTTGCACGTTTTCATCCACCTCGTTGAGCTATCATTTGTGATGGCCAGGTCACTTCTTAAAAATAGCCATATCGCTCGGTGGGCCTTAGCTGATAAAATACAAAACTAGTTTTGGTAAAAGCGGAAAGTCTGAGAGACCAGGGGATGAGGTGAGGGGAAGGCAGGGGGTGAGGGGAGAGGGCAAGGTTGCAGGGTTGTACAATTGTGTGGCCTTCATGGCGTCCTTTGACGCCCCCACGGTAAGTTAAAATTCAGCTGAATACCTACTCGAGGTATTCTCTCTTTGACCGAATAGTAAAACGTGTCATTCGGTGCACCCCTCATGGTACAGTGGCATTCGTGGCAAGGCCGTGCCGTGTGGACAGGGGAAGGAGTTGAGTGTGAAGAGTCGGGGCTCATGGTTTTTTGACTTAGAAGTGTGAATTTAAATGTTTTACATTCCCCCTGTTGAATGAAACACATCTTGACTAGATGTCAGCAGCGACTTAGAAATTATGGATGGTTCTTTATTCTCCAATCCACACGTTTCCTTTTTTGCTTCAGATTTAATTTTGGCTCATTTCCTTTCGTGTACTACGCCATGTGTTCTCGCGCTTTTGTGTACTTTCTGCGTCGGTGTTTCCAATCCATAGCCTATTTCTGGGTGTATGCATTGATTCTTGCTTTGCCTCTGCAGGCAAAATAAAAAAAATGTTAATGTCCCCCAACCCCCCCACCTCACCTTTAAAAACCGGTGCCTGGTCACTATGGTGCGGACTTTGCTGTTGGTGACGGCATCCTCTCGAGCCTTCTTGAGGTAGTTTCTCCCTACTGTGGGCCTACGGGTTTGCACGCGTTTAAATGTAGCGATAGATTTCGAAAGATGGGCTCACGTGCGACCGTGCTGCGTTCCCACGGCCACTGAGCGCCAGGCTCGGCAACCCAGCTTTGGCAACCCAGCTTTGGCCGTGGGTCCCATCCTGGATCTTCTTTATAGCCCTGGCTATTGGTCCCTGCTGTCTCCGTATTCTCAGCCCTTCCCACTCCATCCACCGCCATGATCGATTGTGCAATGGTCATACAAAAACTGCTTCTTTTAAATAATCTTAAATGGAGGCTGAGCTGTGTTTTGAGACAGCCGAATCAAACACTTATTCGTCATTTTTAATCGTATATATATCGTGCATATGCATTGGTTCTGTAACACTTTCCAATTTGCTTAATGAGAAATAATGATGTTTCAAGCCACGCAACAAGTTGGTTTTGCGAGATGTTGTGATGCATCGTGATGGGAGGGGAGGGAAGGCTTGTGCGTGATGAACGGCGCAAGGTGACGTCACATTTAACGACGCCAGAAAAAAAAACATTAAAAAAAATGGTGCCAACAAATTTTCAGATCGGATATTCAAATTAAAAAAATGTAAACGCATACATACTATGTATTTGAACATGCTATATACGAGTGGTTATTCTGTAATCATGTAGCAATTCACCTCCGTCTGTGGTGAAGCAATGACGCAGCACAATTTGGTTTTTAAGAATAAATTGTATTTTTGTCTCATTTTGACAAGTTTCATTCACATTTTCACCTACTAGTTTATCTCATTTGTTTAGTCTTCTTCACTCCAATAGCCTACTTAAAACATTTGAATGTAAACCCACAATATAAGAGGACAAAACAATAAAGCTTAAAAAAATAATGTCTTCAAATGCTTAACAAGGCCAATGGGTAATTGTGTTCATGGTTTTAGTAGTCGTAGTAATTGTAGTTATAGTAGTCGCCTCTGTATTGGTGGTAAGAAGCTATGGATGGAAAGCTGCTACATATGCAGGTGTTGTGTTAAGAGGGGGGGGGGCGGTGAGTGGCAGACTGGTCACTGGGGGTGGGAATATCTTTGGGCACGGTGAGGGTCAGGAGGTCTTGGGAGAGACTCCCAACACTGGAACGACAGTGCACTGCACGTGAAGGGTTACGACCAGGTCGGCTGTGAAACGCTGAAATCACTCCCGACTCTCCCCCCCCTCCCATCGTTTCCCTCCCTTCCGCCCCCTGTGTGCACCCGACAAACAAGCTTGGCCATTATCATCGCACCGTCGAGCCGCGATGAAACTTTAATGAGGAAAAATGGAAGGGGATGTGGTACAAGTGCCGTACCCTGGCAGCTCTCCCCACACCGTCCCCCCCCTCCTCTCGCCGGCTTGGCACACTTCGGCTAAGCACGCGGCGCTTATGAAGACATCTGTTAACTCCACGTAGGCCTGCCTGTCCGTTAACCCCTGCGGTGCGCAAGAACGCCGCTCCGCAAATAAAGAAAAATGCGGCCCCAGAACACGGATGGCTTTTATCTTGTTACGTACAAAAAGGCCATGTCTAACATGTCGGACACGGGTCTGAAGCTCTGTTAATGAACAAAAAAAATTAACCCGTAAAAACAAAGTTTTTCACTATAAATCCTTTATATGCGTGGCATCGGTTTTATTTTATTATTCATTTCTGTTTTTCTTGAGTAAGAGTTTCATTTTTATCACATTGGTATTTTAAATTAAATATGAATTTTTTTTTTCCTAAAAAGTGGAAAATTTTGGAAAAAAAATTTCACGAAAATAAATTGTCACGCACAACGAGTCTGTGTGCAAAATGTCAGCTCGATTGGATCACGGGAAGTGGGTTAAAAAACAACCGAAAGATTTGCACGGTCGTAAGCGCGCAAGCAAGCAAGCAAGTGGACTTAATATAAAGGATTAAAAAATACAAATACTTTACTAACGAAGTGCTCTCCAGTGATGTTACAGTGGCCTTGGCGCCTGTAATTTTAATGACAACTGTAGTTACGTCACTAGGGGGTCCTCTACTGTTATTCTACATTTAAAAAATCCAGGAGAGCCACGATTTGTCAACAGGGTCCAGCATTTTGAGTTTCTACGAGCCGGAGGAAGCCGGAAACGCCCGGAGAGAAACCCACACACACGAGGGGACAACACTCCATCCCCGTGTAGAGGGAAACAGATGGCGATTAGTCCACTTGCTGTACTGCCATCTCCTGGCGAGCCAGGGAAGGGAGGTTCACGATATTTGTGCGATTCCACCGACCCTCGCCTCCACAGTGCTGGACTACAGGCATGTGCTTAGCCACCACCTACCTCCCAGAAATGGAGATCCACCTTGGAGCAGCATTCAGGCATTCGTAATTCAACTGCGCTGACAGACAGGAGCACATTACTACGCTGTCCTCGGTGAGCCCCATATCTTGTTGGATCTTGGACACTAAGGGAGCCTGGTTGTTACTTGGATGGGTGATCACCGGTGCATAAAGGTGTTGAAGGTGTGAGGCTGTGGGCTGTGAGGTGGCCAGGGCATGGTGGTACAGCAATGATTAATCTTTCTTTGTTGGGCTTTTGAATATTATCTCTTGATCTGTGTGGCTTTTCTCCAGGTACTCCAGTTTTTTTTCCGCATATGTAACCAAAACGCTGGTTAATGCAGTATCCTGAAAACGAAGGTTGAGTCTCAATGAGGTTTAACTGGGTCAATAATTGGCATTAATTGCTGCCGATGGAAACTGGGCTCCGTATGAGTGCTCGAGGCGAGTGTAAAGTAAGCTGCAGAGCCAAGAGCTTCGCGAGCACCCTTTACGTTTAACCTAACCGATATTCCTACTAGTTGACTACCCAACCCGCTCCGTCCATGTGCTGCGCGGTGCATCTAGAAACAAAGGGAACGGCCGTAATCGCATGCATGTATTGTGAGCCCTGCGAGAGCTACATTGTGGGCCAAGGAGACATTGGTAGGGGCACTGCCAGCGACGCGGCATCATTGGCACGCACCCTGGTGCAAGGAATTACATAGGGCATACCCCACCCACCCACCCCAGTTCAATTTACAGCTCTCTTCATAACCTGTTGTTTTGACCTCTCCCGTCCGTAGACGCCGGTTTGCAGTGCTACCGCTTGCACACTTGATAGCCACTCCAGTGGATGCTGTGTCGGGCAAAACCTGATCCTTTCCCGCACCTTCTGATGAGCACGGTTGGCTGCGTACAGTGCGAAATAAGTTCAACGTACGTGCGGCGTACAAAACGGTGGCGTCGTGGACCTGAAATGAAGTGAAAAAGTTGCACTGCTGGTCCGTGCGCGCCCGTGTGCACGCAGCTGTTCCTCGACAAGCCGAATAACGCACTTAAGCAGGCATATTGAATCGAAAAGGGCAGCCTAACGCATTAATGATGACCGCGCCCCACTGTACTTTAAAGAGCAAAATCATTTAGCATTGGTGTGAATTATTTATCACGCACGCCGTGGGCACCGCGTCTTTGAGCAGGACGGCTGTCCGTGCAGTGGCAGCGACAGTGAAATGGAAATCGATGCTGGCGCTGGATCCGGCGGCTGCTTCCTGTGCACCACGTGCGATGAAACGCGCTGCAACTAATCGATGATTTTTTACGCCGCTACCTGCTGCATAATCCCACACTTTGGAGTCATGTAACGAACATGTAATTAAAACAATTACTTCCGGTGGGTTTCGCACCCAAA